GCTGGTGAGTAGCAAACATTCTGCTCGGTGCCTAACAGCTGTGCTCTGTCAGGCCATGGATCTAGTGCTTTGTCTCTGACATGGAAAAAAACAACCCACAACCGAACCCGGGTACAAGAACAAGGCCATGTGATACTTTGGTATACTCTCCCAGTTACTGGCAGCCTTTGGTTTCGGAAACTTCTTGAGCCAGGAGCTGCATCTGGAATGTAATTGAATAGTTCTCTTTGGACCTTTCTTCCATCAATTTGTCTTGATTTCTTTTTAAGTCCATTTATACTTTTGGCCAACATCCTATGTAAATGAGTTAGTCTCTCTGGGAGGTGTACAGGCGAAACCCTTCTTAGTTTAACTCTCCTGTTTGAGATCTCTGTTGCTGCACCACTCTTACAAGTACACCTCCTGTACTTGTGTAGCAAGGGGCAGGGACAGAATAGTCTTTGTCTGCTCCCTTTCTGCAAGTGGTCTGTAATTTCTGTAGGTTTCTGGTATATCATGCCTTAGTTATTTTTTTCATCTTTCTTCTTTCGAAACTGAATTTCTAGCTATGTTTAGTGTTTTCTTCTGTGTAAGAGATGATACTTCATGAGTTAGACTATGTCACACTCTCATTACACTCTCTCTTGTTCTGCGCTCTCTCTGTTCAGGTTTTATGCATGCCAGGGACATATACAGTGACTTGAATATGTTAAAAATTGTTCAGAAACGAATGGAACAGAGAACTTCCTCCCTAACTGGTGCTTCCAGTATGTTACTGTTTTGCCTGCCACTAGCCTTATCTGTGAATTTTAATTCTTTCCATCTGTGCTTATTCTAGGTCCTGCTTTGATTGCAGCACAAAAGCTTTTGATCAGCTGAACTGTTCAGAAGTTTATTTCATATCAATAGTGGTTGCCACATTTTTTTCCATGTTCCAAATTTGAAAACAGAATGGCAGTTGACAGCGTTCCATCTTCTGAATGAAAGAGTGAATTGATATTTTCTACAGTAAATATGTAATGCAGAAAAACTGTGATATAGCAGTGCTGGGAAGGTTTACTGTGAAATGAGCACTGCAATTAAAATAGTCTGGTGTTACCTTTGCTATTCAAGCTTGGGAGGGAGTGTTGTACATCTAATAAGACTTGTTTGGTGGTTTTGTCTTACTTGTACCAATGGTGTCTGAGTCCAGATCGAGTTTTTAAAAGTATACTTTATTGTTAAATATATTAAACTATTCTGTTCATTCTATAATAAATGGAAATTCTAGTAATTTTAGTTTAAATTGATTCTTCTAAATGAAATATTTACCTCTGGGCATCAATATAAACTTCAAGCAGTTTTAACTACAGATAAAAGTGACTCTCTGGCTATCTCCCATGATGGGCTTTCTGGAGGAAAGACCAATGGAAAGTGTTTTGAATTGTTTCCAGAAAGAGAAAGCCTTTCCTACAGTAACTTGCTTTGCAGATTGATGGGGCAAGGATTGTCAGATGCTTCTGTGGCTGCAAAAGTGTTGCCAGTAAGTGAAGTGCGAGAATAGCAGTATGTGGGGTCTAAATTTGGCAATTTCTGTTTCTCCGCATCTTTCTGACATATGCTTGTAGCATTTATGGAACTGTTTTATGGAGATGGAGGAATGTTAAGTTCAGATACACTTACTGAGAATCTTGCCGAGTCACAGATACTTTTAACTGCTGAGAGCTGGCTGTTCTACTTGCTCTGTAAAGCTTTTACTCCTGATGCATTGTAAGTGCATCAGAGCTGGTGTGTTCTGCATATTCTGATTTTGAGAGGTGCTGTTCCTCTGGGTGTGCATAGGACAGCATTCCTACTCACCCATTTAATATTCTTCACCTTCTTTATTTGGTGTTTAATATTGGTCTTTATGTGTGTCTGTATCTGTTTTGTCAGTGTTAAGCTGATGTATCTACATCTGAATCTGCTGCTCTATCCCAGATGGGGCTCTGATTTGGTGGCAACCATTCTTCTCTCTAACACAGTCAGAGGAAGGTGCTGATGCTACATGCTCCCCGTGGGTCACCTTACAGTAGTTAATGTTCTCACATAGGGTCTCTTAAGTCTAAGTTTAGTTCTCTCTCTTGCCCAGTGAGATTCAAACCTGCATTTCCAAGGAGCAGCAGCCAGCAGATAAGTGACTATTCTGGGACTGGAGCAGTCTCTACGCACATTTGAAACTCTGCTCTGTGGTTTTCTCCAAACAAATGATGAAACTTTCCTTAACAACAGTCTCTTGAGATCCTCTGTGTCTCCAGTGGGAGCAGGAAAAGGCAGAGCAACAGACGGAGGATGGCAATTGTGTGATCTTGCCGTCATTCCTTGAAGGGACTGCGGTAGCTGTGAGATGGGTAAGGGTTAAATCAGTCTGAAAGCTGTAAGATGGAAAAGCCGGAGCTGAGCTGAGTGGCTGGGGGAGATGATTGCAGAGAGCTGGAGCCCAAGCAGGTGAAAGGTCAGAGCTGGCCTGTGTGGGCTGGGAGCTCCGCAGGGCCTGCAGTGTGGGGAGATGGTGATCCTGGCCGATGCACAGTGCTGGTTAACCATTTCTGTTCATAAGCACTTCTTGCTGCACAGAAACAGACCTGGCAGTAAATGCCTATAAATTGTGATGTCTCACCAGTCTTGATTACCACGATGGTTTGGAAAACTCTCCCAAGTTCTCAACTGGGGGCTGGGGGAAGCTGACACTGGCTTTGAACTGCAGTTGGGATGGAGCTCTGTGTAAGTGATACGCTTGCAGAAGTGTCTAATGTTGTGAGACTTTGTGTAGTCATCTGCAGTTCAGAAACAAAACATTATAAGTGATTTTCTTCATGCTTATATTTGTTAACACAATTCAAACAATGCAGATCTAAAGACTCCTGTTAATAAAGGGATAAACTGTGACTAGGGATGAGAGTTGGCTTTTGGTCTGTATGACAGTCACTAAATAGTTATGTCTAGAATTTAAAGCAGCAGTTTGTAAATATATTCAATTTTAGTCTTTTCATGGTATTGTGGATATATATTCTCTACTTTCACTAGAGAATCATAAATATTTACATTTTGGGGAAACTGCACTTCAGGAACACTGTTGCACAGTGACAACCATGATGCGTCTCTTTGAGCTGCTATTCTGTGCCACTCACACTAAATTGCTTCTCAGTTCCCTCTCAAATCTTAATTTCCATTGGGAAAATTACTGTTTCTTGTTGTGTGATGCTTTTAAAGGACTGAAGAGGTGAAAGGTTCAAGTGTTAAGAAAACATACGTGCACTCTTAATAGCTTCAAGTATGCAAAAAAAAAAGAAAATCAGTTGTATAATGTGGAAACAGAACTTCAGTTTTCTTTATTTTCATAAACTGTAAAACAAACAAACAAAAAACCCAAGTACTTTAAAACAATCCACAGATTTTACTTGTGAGTTAGATGGTACTTGAGATGCTAAGCCACCATTAAAGGATTTATCCATTGCTGAAATGGTGCTTACTATTGAGACATAATTATTCACCATCTGAAACTAGTTAGTAGAGGTGTAGTTAGATTCAAGACTTAAGTTTCAAAGTTACTTAACCTCATGTGTTTGGCTTGTTGTCGGGAATATGAAATTAAGTTTCCATTAAAACTGCTAAATGTGAAATTAAGCAGTCTTGGTAATCCTCAGTTAAATTTGAGAACAGGATCACTTTCCTTCCAGATTTTCCCAGAAATAAAGTATCAAAACCTGCCTGTCATGACTTCCTAGCAAAGGTTTGGCAAGTTGAGAGAGTAGGGTGATGCTGGTGAAAAACTGCACCTGCTTTTCTGAGCCCAGTAGCTTGAAATCTGTGCTATGTCTTCAGTCTTCTTGCCACTGAGCTTTCCTTCTGGAGGTGACCATTTGCATGGAAGTGTTTAAATGGAAGATGCTCAGTATAGTAAATTTCCAAGAAATCTGTCAAGCTGGATAGCTGGGGTGTACAGCATCCAAGTATCAAAATCAGGCTGAGAGTTGGGCATGTTCAGCCTGGAGAAGATAAGGCCCTGGTGAGACCTTATAACAGTCTTCTGGTGCCTAAAGGGGGCCTACAAGAAATCCAGAGTGCAGCTTTTTACAAGGTATTACAGTGACAGGACAAGGGGGAACGGCTTTAAGCTGACAGGTAAGGGTCGTTTAGATGAGACAATAGGAAGAAATTCTTTACTATGAGGGTGGTGAGACACTGGCACAGGGTGCCCAGAGAAGCTGTGGCTGCCACATCCCTGGCAGTGTTCAAGGCCAGTTTGGATGGGGCTTGCAGCAACCTGTTCTAGTGGAAGGTGTCCCTGCCCCATGGCAGGGGGTTGGAACTGGATGAGCTTTAAGGTCCCTGCCAACCCAAGCCATTCTGTGATTCTAAAATCGTGCTTTACAGCACCATGCTTTTTGGATCTTCCTAGTTTGGTATTGCTATCTTTTTCACCTAAATATTTAACTAGTTAGTGGAAGCATACAGCACTGGAAGTTAGTAAGTTCCCTCAATTTTGGATGCTCAGTATACTTTGCTTCACCAGAATATACAGGGGTTTTTTTTCAGCAATGTTTTTTTTTGAGGCTCTTCTGATCTCCTAAGGCTTGAGACTGGTAGCATGTAATTTTTGTTATCTAAACCCAAATGCAAAGAGAAAGATGGAAGAACTCTCTTTCAGGCATGGTGTTACTTTTAAAACTACAGCTATGAGGATCACACATTAGTTCCCAGGTACTTCTCTTACACATTCGATGTTTACTTTTTGTTATCTGTTGGTAGTATTGCTTACTGCAACTAGCTGTTGCTGCTAGTGTATTTTTCCACCTGGAGAAATACATTGTGGATAAGATACACAAACAAGCTCTTTCTATCTTATTTCTGCTGGAGATGTTGCAATAAACAATATTTATGATTCTCATCTGAGTTCAGTCTCACAAGAAAAATAAAAGAGTTTCAAGTACCTCTGAGTCCTTGTTCTTTTACACTTTAATCTTTTTATCACTGACTTTCTTATCTGAATCATTCTTTAGGGCTGCAGGGTTCTGGTTGATGCACGGGACAAACTGGGGATCCCTTGGCAGTGCACGGAGAATGAGAAGCATGGAATGTTTTTGATGGCTTTTGAAAACAAAGCTGGAATGCCCATAGAGCCTGCCACCTTCCAGCTGTATGTACCTGCACTGGGCGCACTGTGGAGGGATTCGGGAATCAAGGAAGCCTTCAGCCGTCGGAGCGAGTATCAGCTGGTGAGTATGTCCATCTTCATGGTGGTAAGAAAAAAGTTCCCTGCCATATACATCTCTCTTCAGTTGAAAGATTGCTTGTTACATGCAGGATTTATGCATCAGATGAGCCGTTTGTAGTAGTGCTGTAAATCTGAGCACTTCAGCAGCAGAAACAAGTGGTAATTGGAGCCAAACTTGAAAAACTACATGGCAGTAAAGAGGGAGTGGAAAAGTGCACATGACTGGATAAACTGGAAGAGCAAGAGGAACCAAAAAAGGCAGGAATTGGTTGAACTAAAAATATTTTAGGAGCTCAGTAGGTCTGTTCATAGTAGGTCACTGATGAAGGCACACTTAATTTGTAACTTTCCAGTCCTGCCAGCTTGCACTATATTGATACTGGCAAAGTATTCCTGCGTGCAGATCTTTTTGAAGTGAATGCAGCACCCATTCCGGCTGCTGCTATTTGGCTGTTTCTTTTCATCCTGACGTCTGCAAGTGAAACTTGGATAAGCACTGAAAGATGACAGTGAGCGTAAAAATGTGCTATCTTCCTTGCTTTCTCGTTATTAGGTTTTCATGCTCTTGTGCCAAAATAGCTGCACTTCTGGTATGGAATATGTTTCTGACAGCTGTTAATAACCTACTCTTTCTCTTCCTATGTACAAGATTGAGATGCTGTTGGGTTTTTTCCTCTCTTTTTTTCAGTGAAACCAGATAGTGATCCATGCAACCTACTACCACTAGTCACTTGCGAAATTACATGTGGTGACGTCCTAATTGTTCTAGTAAATCTTTGATTTTGATGTATTAATGTGCAGATAGAAGTCTGGTTTGGGTGTTTTGTCCCCAGACTGCATCCAGCTTTTTTTTTTCCCCTTTTTTATTAAAGAGAAACAGTTACAGTTGAAATTCTTCATGCCTGGGTATGTTATCAATGTTTAATTAGAGGAGCTAGGTAGAGGATAGAAGCATGGGTTTGTATAGTCTCCCTTAAACTCTTAAGAAGGAACTTGGTATCGCTAAAGGAAAGCTAGAGAAATTCAGCAGTGAAATGTTAGTTTCCTCATGCTGCTCCTCTCTGTGGGTTCTCTAGTGTCTGATACTGAGCTAAATTTATGTTGCAGCCCTTAGGTACTCCTCTCTCTCCACTTATATATGCCTGAGTTGTCTTGTTCAGTACCTTTGAAATCAGTCACTGAAGTATCAATGAGACTGCTAAAGGGCTGAAAAATAAAGGCTAGGTAAAGCTGTCACAGGATGATTGTTTAAACCTCATTTCCTCAGACTAAAAATGTAACAATTTCCATGTTACAGTGCTGGGGATGGGGGGAAGGATGTGTAGGGGGGAGAGAAGACAGATTAATTGTTCCGTAATTCCTCGCATCTGTAGACACAGACTAAGACTTCGCTGTTCTAAGCGCTGTTCAAATGTGGGATAAAAAGATGGTTCATGCCACAGGGAACTTGAATTTAACATGAGACAACTACTAAGAAAATCCAGTATAGTAAGGAATAATTACAGCAGCAGCCTGTTAAGAATTACTTCTTTTTTTTTTCTGGGAAATGCTATGATCAAGCATGGGTTTTGTTTTTAGGAGGAGATTCAGATGGGGATCATGTGGGAGGTTCATTCCTGTACATGTTAGCAATAAAATTGCATCAAACTGGAAAAAAAGATGTCCAGTTTGTTGAATAAATAGCATTCCAAGACTAGTAGGCCTACCTCTGCATTCTCTGGCTTTGAGGATTAAACAGGAAATTCCAAAAAATAAAAAAGGCCCGCAAACCCAAAGCATACAGGCATGCAACTGATCATTTAATATGCTATCATCTTCAACACCATGGTATAGTTCTCTCATACATCTTTTTGGATGGCATTCATATAACCTTTTTAATAATACTGGAACTGCCTGCAGGCACCAGAGGGGTTGTCAGTAGCGCAATGATATGGTGTATTACTGAACCACTGTGTAACTCAGTCCTGGTGCATGCATCTGTGGCATTAAACTTGAAGACCTTGGGTGCTGCTGTTTTACTGTGCAAGCTGCATCAGTAATAGATTATAATGTACCTGAGTTGTAAATAAAAAGCACTTACTGCAGAGAAGTATTTTAAATGTATGTATTATTCTCAAGGATATAAATGCTACTTCTGGATTGATTGCTAAAAGAATTACAAACACCTTCATACCTTGAACAAGTTTCCATGCCTTGCTTCTAGGTTCAGCAGAAGTCTAATTCCCAGAGTACATGGGGATTAGCAGCAGTACAGCCCCTTTTAACAAAATGAGTTTAAAACTGCTTAAGTTCTTAAAGCAGGTGGTTTAAGGAAATGCCTTATTTATAATTATATATGATATGTATAAACCCATACCTTCATTTAGTTTAAACCCTCGCTGGATATAGACTCATGTAAATAAATAGAAGCCAGATATAGTGCACTCTGAGAAAATAAATCTTTTCTGAACTGATTTTAACTAAGGCTAAAGAAAACCTCTGCATCAGCACCCCCTTTCTGACTGAGTATAAATGCGCTATTATACGGAATATACTTTATTTGAACTGAATTTATTATGTTTAGAATAATTTTTAAATCAGCACTAAAACTGTGAAGCTTTGCTTTACTATCATCTTTCTGAATGCCTCTCAACAATGCTTGAAATAATAACCCTGCTCAGCACTTGCGTTTTCTTCACCCTGGTCTTGCAGCTCCTTTTTCTATCGTTATTGTTTTAGCTTCTGAGCACTAGGACATGTTGGTCTGCTTTTGAACTCTATTTTTTTCCTCCAGGAAGTTGTGTGACTTTGGTTAAAAATACAAAGTAGAACATGTTGGCTGGTTAACTAGAGCTGAAAATCAGTGTACAGGTGTCTTCCTATGGTCTGTCACACTGAGCTTAATGACTGATTCATCAGTAGCAAAATAGTTGAAAGAAAATGGCTCTGACCATAACCCCTGTGTAATTGGAAAGCTGCTTCTCTGGGTCTACAGAAGCTGCCTCTGGGCATTTGAGTGTTTTCTGCTTCACATTCAGTGCCTAGAAGTGCTGTTTGTAAAAGCCTGTCTGGGTCTTTGAGCATTTCAGAAGTGAGTGGGTGGATTCTACAATAGCAGGGTGCTTTTTTGCTTCTTTTCTTCAGTCATTCTTAAAGCAGACTAACCAATTTCACTTTCTTTTCACAAACATCAGCCTCTTGCTCTTCCCCTGCCCCAGCCTGTCCCCACCAACCCAAGTTCCTCTGTTCCTTGTATGCAAGCCAAGTAGTCTGGGGACAAAAGCTTCATTGTATATTTGGTTACATTGTCACGTCTCCGTCCTCATTTTTTAACTACTAGGATAGGAATTCCTTTGTAATCAGTATGTGATTCTTCTCTCTTCTCCCTTGCCCTCATTATCCTACGCCATTTTCTGTCTGTATATTAGAAATGAATGCATTAATCACGTGTTGCAGAATGTCCTGTAACATTTGTTCTGTTGAGGTTGCCCGTGGTACTTTGGGCAACTGGATATTAGTCCTCCATTGCCAGCAGGTGGAGACAAATTCTATTTTGAATGGCTTCTTGGAGAAAGGACCCTGGGATTTCAGTGATCATTTGGCTGAAAGGGTGGAAGCTTCTTCACTTTGATCCTCATAACAAGTATTTGGGTATATTTGGGAGTTCAGGTGCATGTATCTGCAAGCTTTTTCGCACCCATAAATATTGTTTCCTTTTGTGCCATAAACACATTGAGGTCAAGGTAGGAATTGCTTTGGTCAAGTGGTTTCTGTTTTGGCTTTTGTTCTTCCTCCCCAAGTCTCTACTGGGAGAATGTGAGAAGCCATTTACTTTGGTTTTAATGTGTCCAGAACAAACAAAATCTGAAGTGAGGTTAGCTACTGTCTTGACTTGTTACAACTTGGCACGCTTTATGTCATTGTGGTTAAAGATGGGACAAATAGGGCATGTCAGGCAAGAAAATTACTCTTTTGTCACGGTCGTAACAGAATCGTACTGTGTGCCAGCATGTTACAGAGCTTGAGTTAACAACAAGTAGATCTGCAGAGGCCATCATCTGGCTTCATCAATTCTTAAAGCAAAACTAACATTGCTTTATCAGCTTTTTAAAACATGAACATTGTTTTTTGTTTTGTTTGTATATCTCCATCCTAACTACTCTTAGTCAAAGCTGTATCTTATTTGAATGATTCTTACTGCTTCCCTTCAAGACACCAAGTCTTTCTAGCCTGTAACTATGTATTTCAAGAGCTGCTGAACTTTTCCTGTGGTACAAGTCATATTCTTATCTCTTCAGCATTGATGGGGCTATTTACTCTGAACTCCATAACTTATTTGCAGTTAAGGCAACTGTGCTGAGTTACTCGCCTGCAGCTATACTGGCTTCTGACTTGTGCGTACAGATACCGCCCTCCTTGATACAGAAGAGAGCATGGCTATCCAAGGAGCCTGCAAAAGGCATCTGTTTTAATGCAGATATTCTTAATATGCAGAATATATTTATAATCCATTACTAGAGTATCAATGTAAATGTAATATTAATCTATTATTGTTGATGTTCACTCACTGTTGAAATAATTTCTAATTTTTAATAACTCCTTTTTTAAAAAAAACAAGAAATTGAACATCAGTGCTAATGGGAAGTAGGTTCCAGGGAGGGAAGTAAGGGGCTTGCAAGTATAGACCAGAACTTACTACTACTGTGTCCATAGCTATTTTTAGATCTGTGCATAGGGAATTGTATGAGGACTTCCACTAATACTTCAAATACTAAGAGCCTCTAAAGCCTTGGATGTGGGAATACTCTGGAAAATGTTTTAAAGAGCCTTTCTTTTATATCAATTCACCATTCTCTGACTGTTTTGAGGTTTGAGGGATGTTTGTAACAGGACACCAGTTGCTCCCCTGTGAATTAACTCTCTTTTTTTCCTCTAAGTAGGCATTTGAAATAAACTGAAGTGGTTAAATTGTACCTGCCGTAACTGATAGTATGCTGGAAGTGTTACATAGTGAACAGCCTT